GAGATCGATTTAGGAAGGGAAACAACCAATGATGGAAACGCCGCAAGTGCTAGCCGCTGATTGCGACCCGACAACTGCGGTGATATTAAGTGTATTATGCATGTCAGCAATGAGTAGGAGACAGAACATGCTATCGTCGGATGACCACAACAGGAAGTGCTATTCGACCTCGAGGGAGGAGGGGGGGGGGTCGTAAGCGCAGGACCCTTTGGGAGTGCAGCGATATTCAGATGTATCAGCTTCAATGAATGACTTCTTCATGTGAAGAACACCTGAAGAGACACTTGAAGACAGAAGCAACCTGCCAGCGCAGAAGTGGGGAACGGGCGATGACAGGAAATACGATGGCCGCCCACAACGACGTCATGAATTAATAAACAGATGAAATCACACTTGCACCTTCCTGATCGCAGGAGCACATCTGCTTGCACAGAGCAAGCTCTATCTGGAAGTTGCACCTTCCCACCACCTTGCGTGAGAGACCAAAGCATGGCGCATTACAGAGGTGATGCCAGTCGGCACCGGGTGGACCACTTTCCGATATCCATGACGAAGCATGTGTTTTAGAAGCATGCAAAAGTCTTCAAACGATCTGGAAGTGGTACTGCGTTGGAGGGGTGGGTTTTCTCGTGTCGTCCGGAAGGAGTTGCGTTCCATAGCCCTGCTTTCCCCTCTTCAGAAGCTCCACTCTCAAAGAAGTTATGGATGCAAGCAGAGGGCGCTTTCCGAGTGTTTGGCTTGGAACTGGATTCGGATCGTGAAATAGCTCGCTCCAATGCCACGGCACAAAGCGTGCTCTAACTCAACTCTCAACTTTGGATGGCCGCGAACAATTAATATTCAAGTGTTGGCACATGGATTTCCCGTTTTTTCTTTCTTTTTTATGTCTTATTATGGTTCATTTATGGTTCATTATTTTTGTTTATTTATTTATGATTTACCAGTCGCCTCGCCGGCTGACGCCGGCGCGGCTCCTTCTGATACGGCCCGGCTGCGCCGGGCGGGCGCGGCTTCGCCGCGCGTATTTTCTTTCACATATTTCTAGACTCAACTGATATCCGCCTTTTGTTCTGTACTCCACTTTTTTCCGGTGTCTGAAGTACTCTTGAGCTATTTTACAGATTCTTCGTCTGACTCCGCCCACCTCAGAGCAGACCCCGCCCCCAATTTTCGTGCCCAACAATCCTCACCGGCGACCTCTGCTGACCTTAATCCACTTTTTTCCGGTGTCTGAAGGGTTCTGGAACCGCAGAATTTTTGTCTGGCTCCGCCCACCTCAGAGCAGACCCCGCCCCCAATTTTCGTGCCCAACAATCCTCACCGGCGACCCTCTGCTGACCATAATCCACGTTTTTTTCCGGTCTTTGAAGTGCTCTGGGACAGTTTTTAGAATATTCGTCTGGCTCCGCCCACCTCAAAGCAGGCCCCGCCCCTAATTCTCGTGCCCAACATCCTCAGCCGGCGAACGCCCCTCTGCTGACACCATAATCCACACTTTTTCCGTCTTTGAAGTGCTCTGGGACAGTTTTAGAGAATTTTCATCTGGCTCCGCCCACCTTGGGCTGGCCCCGCCCACAATATGTATACCCCACGCGACCCCTTGCTGACCTGAATTCACTTTAATCTCCGGTCTCGGCAGGCCTGGAAACGTTTCACAAGACCTTTTTGTCTGGCTCCGCCACAAACTGTTTAGCCCCACGAATCCTCAGTGGCGACCCTACTGCGCTGACCTTAATCCACTACCTTTTTTTTCCCAAGTGTCTGGAGTGCTTCTGAAACTATTTAACAAGATTTCTTCGTCCTGACTTGCCGCCCCAAACGGGAAACAGCCCCGCCAACAGCGTTTGATGCCCACAAGTCCTCACTTGTTGTCGGCGACCTTTGCCGCACACCTTGATGCAACGTTATTTCCGTCCTTTGCATGCTCCTAACCCGGCTACAACTTTAAAATGAGTATCCGCGATTCAGGGCAAAGCTCGCGCCCACTGTGGGCGGGTCTCAACACACTTTGAGCGTGCCTTGTATTCGCCAGATATTCACATTCTACACTGAGTTTTTTGCGACTTTCAAACACTCTCGCGAACCAGAAATACTGAATTTTGCGAGAAGCAACGCCCACCTTGAGTTACGCCCGCCATTTAAGGTGTACCTGCCACGTTAGTAAACACCGGCGGCTCCTTACTAACCTTAGTCCCTTTTTCCCCATCTTTAAGCTGCTCCGGAAGCGAATTATGAACATTTTTCTGCGGAACCCCAAACTTTCGGCGAGTGCCCCGCCCACTGTGGGCGGGCTTCCCATAGGTCAAGTGTGCTTTTTATTTCTTGTCCCATGCCCTACCACCTCCCCCCGCGTGTCTCTTCGTAGTGAATCGTCCCGCAGATCCTGAAAGCATATTTGCGTTCAGCGTTGCAAGACGCACACGACCATATGCCTCCCATCCTGCATCCCCATGGCGACCTGTTAACCGTCCCTGATGAGCGGTAAAAGGAGTTCACAGGGGTCAAAACATGCTTCTCAAGAGTCCAACTTAGGTTCCTTCTTTTTTTCTTAAATAGATGCTACGTCGTCTTTCTAGGTCCTGTTCCAGTAGAGTGGAGCATCGTACAACAGTTCATAGGACTGTGGCATTCCAAATTCCACAAGGAGCCTTTCAAAGCAATAAAATTTGTTACATGAGAACATGACCAGAGCGATGATCAGCCAAACACAAGAGACTTGATCAATCAATCATGTCTTTGATCACCGAAGTAAGTGGTCATCGACCACGATCGCGCGCGTTCGTACCACATAAAGAAGCGCCCTATCGATCACTGAAAGTTTTCTCTTCTGCTTCAGGTTTCCCCATCCCTTCTACCCAAGTTCCTCATCCTGAGCGCAGGTGTCCCCCATCCGGCTTTCTTCATTCTTTGTGTCGATTTACTTCCCAATTCCACTGTGGGGTTTTTTTGGATAAATTTTTGTTGTTCTTTCTGCTCAGGTGCAAACTGGGACGGTTTAGCCGGTATATAACGCTTAATATAGAAAATATCGACCAGTCCATGAAAATCATGATCTTCAAAAATGAATTTTCAGGTATCAAAGCGTGGCATGAGATATGCATAAGAAAAGAAAAAAAAACTGACCATTCCAGTTCATTGCAAAGTTGAACGATTTGCCTATCTACTTGCTCCATTACCTGAAAAAAAATTGATTTTCTAAGACATTAACTTCAAAACATCCGCATAATAGTAGACAAACTCTATTCATCAGGGGGAAAAAAGCAAAAGAGCACCACTGCTTGGTAATGGGTGTATGTCGTTCGGCGCGGCCGGATTGCCATTGGGGCGCATCGGCAGTAATTGACACCCTCAGTCCGCTGATGCGATGCGTGTCGTGTACAGGGCAACTCGTCCACGTTTATTAATTTCTTGGTCGACTACTTAGGCATTGTTCACACTCTGCGGTCCAGCGTTTCTCTGAAACGCGGCGGTTCGGCGAAAAGCTTTCGATACATATCGACTGGCGGTTGGGCGAAGAGCCTGGCGGTTGGGCGAAAGGGTTTTGGTACGTATCGACGGGCGTTTCGCCAAACCGCGACGTTTTTCGCCTTCGACAAAACGCTAGCTCCATCGCGGTGGCGTTTTTCGCCAGCGAAATCGATACACATCTACTGCTTTTCGCCCAACCGCCCAACCGCGGCGGGCGGTTGGACGGTTGGGCGATTCTCCGATCGATGACTATTTATTGCTTTTCTCCCAACCGCCGTTTCGTCAGGGCCTGGAGACTGTGAACAATGCCTCGACGGTCGCATATATCCTACGGCATCCGCGAAGCACGTGTTGCGCGCGGCGCTCCTGGCATTTTGCCAATCTGGTGATTCACGCTTCCAATAGCGATTAAAGCGCATCTCGCTGTTCTTAAATTGAGAAATGATCGGTCTTTTCTGTAACTGCGCACATCCTGCCTCTCTGCTGACTCAATACAAGAAGGAAACCAAGTTATCCCATCCATTGCATTGAAAATCCATCCCTTCGCTTCTTGTTAGCAGCCACAAATGTGTCCTTACAGAACTCTGCTTTTGTAGTTCATTGGATTGATTTTATTTCATTTCCAATTCAACACTAGTTCATGGGGGGCACGCAAATTTGAGGTGCCAACGGTGTGGCAGCGGACTTTCTCTGCATAGGTGGACTCGTTGGCCTCTGAAGACGACGAATGAGTCGAAACGTTAGGCAGCGTTCATACTTCGCGACAGCAGCGGCGATCGCGGCGATCGCGCGATCGCCGCGATCGTCGGTACGTGGCAGAGCGCGCCCCAACGCTATTATGGACTGCTCGCTTGATAAATAAGGAAATCCAACTTGTGAGACCTTCTTTTCTCTTAATAATGGCTACTAACTGATAACTTACGACTTTCTATACATAAGCGGATCTGGAATATAAGGAGATTTCACTCTTTTTTAGGTCGGGATAATGCAGAACAACTTAAATGCCAAACGAACATTTTCGGACAGCGGGCGAGCGGTCGCGTCGCGGTCATTGCATGGGTCGCGTTGAATCTGGCGCGAGGGAGGAGATTTCACATGAAAATTGGAAGTTGAAACATGCAGTGTTTGATATTTTGGAAGGTGAATGAGTACTTTCACATATGTTCCTTTCTCCGTTAGCAGACCGTTCATGGAGTCACTTACAAGGGAATGGTTTGAACTTCCCATGGAACTTTGAATGGAGACCTAGGTACATCGATAGAGCCTCGAATGCTGATTACGAATATGCAGATTAAAAGCTACGGGGACCTCCCAGACGAGATCTGGGTGGTCAAAGTTTGAGTTCTGGCTCGTAAGCGCTGCTGATCGATGCCTCGGCAGTGCCACCGTGGCCTCGTGGTAATGGTCTCGCTTTCAAGTCAAACGCATGCGGGTTTGCATCCGGTTGGCGCGAAAATTTTTGCTTCGCTCCGTATAAGAGCTTCAACTCTAATTCTTCCGAATTTACGGCCCAGCAGGGCAAGTAGATCAAGTACATCAAGTATACGACGTACTCGATCTAGTATGGATTTGGTCATATCTGCCCTCTCTGAACATATTACCCATCCGACAATTCAAAGTTTTAGCGAGATCATGGGAGATTTCGACCCCCTGAACACGAATATCACATCCTTCGACGAAAAAACGCTCGTCTGGCCAAATTGCGATTCTGGGCAAAACTTTGAATTGTCGGATGGGTAATATGTTAGAGGGCAGATATGACCAAATCCATACTAGATCGAGTACGTCGTATACTTGATGTACTTGATCTACTTGCCCTGCTGGGCCGTAAATTCGGAAGAATTTCGAAAATTAGAGTTGAAGCTCTTATACGGAGCGAAGCAAAAATTTTCGCGCCAACCGGATGCAAACCCGCATGCGTTTGACTTGAAAGCGAGACCATTACCACGAGGCCACGGTGGCACTGCCGAGGCATCGATCAGCAGCGCTTACGAGCCAGGAACTCAAACTTTGAACCACCCCGATCTAAGTCTGGAGGTCCCGCTGGCACTTGTTAATTCTGCACCAATTCATAAGTCAGGATTCGAGAATCTATCGACGTACCTAGGTCTCCATTCAAAGTTCCATGGGAATTTCAAACCATTCCCTTGTTACAAGGGAACCCCAACAGGTCGATGCCATTTGCAGTGAGATGTATAAATATGGACGTGTCTTGAGCCGCCGAATCCTCTGCCCTCCAATTTTGCGCGGAACGATCTCCAAAGGGAGTTACGGACCATTTAAACTTAGCTCCATTTGCTCAATGAGACCAGATAAACTGCATGCGCAAGCCGCCGATGGCCTACGTGATAAGTGCATTGTTTGTCAGAAGACTCACGAAGGTACTCGAAGGTTTGGAAATCCTGGCTATCGAGACGGTGTTGACTTTTCATTCAAAACACTTGTATGGGCCCTCACCGAAATTTCGTGTTCGGTACCATTTCGCCTGATTTTCTTTGATTAGTTGCCAACGAAAGGCGGGCGATTCCCCATGTAGGGTTCCTCTTGAAAACTTTTTTATTATGAGGATAACCACATGTCACAAGGGTTTTTGCAATGAAATACCATCATATTCATCATGTTCAGTTGCGGGGTCAAACTAGCCCTGAGGAGCCAAATTTTCTAGGCCGATCTGATATTCTCCAGCTAACTATGGAAAATTGTGTGCTGCTGTTTCAATGGGTAATCGAAAGCATAGGGGAGCTCACCTACCGTTGGTGAATGGTCTCGAGATGGAACTACCTCGTGGTAAAGAGGACGATGATGCAAATGGCAAGAATAAGTAAGCCGGGGTGGGCTTGCGGGGTCACGAGAGGGTTGCCCCACGTCTTTCGTCGGACGAAAACACGTGCTTCGCTATCGGATAACACGAATACGCCCGAATGCGGCAACCAACCTCACACTTCCTTAGATTGGTGGATATGGCCTAATGTCTTTGCGAAAAGGCACATGAAGAGGTATTTCAGTTGGAAAACCAGTCATCATCAGTATGGTAGTCGTAGTATCGCTTTGGCTATCAGTCAGCCACAGCTATTCATAACCCATTTTCTCGAAATGAGTTAGAACCTCGGATTCCGCTGCTGTGGAGGGGTGAACGTTCCAGGGTTATTTGACCCCCTGAACACGAATATGATACCTGTTTTGCGCGAAGAGCGCTGTGAGTTGCGCTACAGGTGCTAACGCTTTGGCGCTGGCGCGCCCGGAAGAAGAAAAGCAATAAAGAAAAACCTCACAACTCCGCTCAGAGAATCGTTCCGCAAATTTTAAAGATAGTCTTGTGTTCATCAGTGCAAGAGGTGAGTACAAGTGATGTATCATTTCGTTGCAATGGCCGCTGACGTGTTGGCAGCTTTCTCCTGCTCAGCTTTGTGCAAACCATGCATAAGATTAAATGGTCCCGTAAACTCCCTCAGAGAATCGTTCCGCAAAATCGGAGGGCAGATTCGGATTCAGCGGCTCAAGACACGTCCATACGTATACATCTCATTGTAAATGGCCGGATCGACCTGTTGGGGTTCCCTTGTTAGACATGAGATACAATCATAGACACACTCACGTAGCTATTCAATAAGAAGCGTACACGGATTCTAAAGCCCCTGTCGTACGGAACCTTATGTCGGGTTTTTTTTCTGAGTTTTTAGAATCCTTCATGAGCAAAGATAGAAATTTCGAAGACATAAATCTAGTGCGACAGGGTTAATGGGTACTGGTGAGGTGCGCGGTAGTTCACTTTAGGACTGAAGGCAAAGATGACGACGAAAATATCTTTATCTCCATGTGATAACAAGAATCCTAGAAACACCAATGCTAGAGCAACTGAGTGGGTGCAATAGGATAACTGTTCCACATAGGTGCATTTGAAGTATGTACAAGTTCCAGAAAATGTGTTTGTGTTGTAGCACAGACATAGATGTGGCGCCCGAGTGTGGTCGCAGTTTTCTTTTGGATTCAAGGATAAACTGAGCGTTACGGTTAACAACGTGGATAAAGAAGTGTCTGTGGTAGGAACTTCTGAGATTCCAGAAAACTAGAAGGAAGTCCTGTAAAATCCCCCAATTTGAAGTATGTTCCAGGGTTTCATAGCTCTTGATTGTATCATTTCCTACAAATCAAATGATGTTCTCGCTCTACAAATCTTTCGTGAACCTAATCGCGAGGATAAGGCATTGTTCACAGTCTGCGACCCTGACGAAACGGCGGTTGGGCGAAAAGCAAAAAATACGGATTGATCGGAGAATCGCCAACCGCTTGTTTCGCCGAACCGCCGCGGTTCGGCGAAACTAGCGGTTGGCGATTCTCCGATCGATGACTGTTTTTTGCTTTTCTCCCGGCGCTTCGTCAGGGTCGCATACTGTCAATGCCTGACGCTTCCCAGTGAAATAACCGCGACGCGACCGCTCGCCCGCTGTCGAAAGTGTTCGTTTGGCATTTAAGTTCTTCTGGATAAGGCCAACTTTCCTAAGTGAGCTTCTTTCTGTTTCTTTTGTTTTCACTGTTTTCAATTTTTATAAGCCCTTTAAAAGTTCCTGGGGTCTGAACTGTTCCAACTTCAAACATGTATAGTTTAGTATAGTTTACGTTCAACTTCATAGTTACGAGTCGAGTTCAAACAACGAAGAAAAAAAAGAAACAGAAAGAAACTCACCTAGGAACCAAAACACTAATCATTTTACGCAACATCAACAGGTGAAAACTTTATAACCTCATGTATAAGCTCGACGAATGAAAAAAGAAACAATAAAAACCTACCCTAAATGAAGCTCTCACGCTTTTTGCTCATTTCTATCCTGAATCAAGAAAGAAAATAGAAAACAAAAGCCATTAAGTTGGGTTCACCTTTCTTTGTGTCAAACCAAGCTTCAGTACCTAAGAAAATTGCAGTTAAAGGAAAAAAGCATGAAATTGAGTCGCTTCTTCCCTAAAAGCCTTCGGTCCAAGTAATAGCGTTGGGGCGCGCTCTGCCATGCACCGACGATCGCCGCTGCTGTCGCGAAGTATGAACGCTGCCTTAGTCCTAACTAATGAATGTTCCACCTAACAACCTCTTAAGGCAGAAGAAATTAACACTCACAACTAACATGCCGACGTTGCAAGAAGAGAGAAGCTGGAGAATATGTCAGTAATCTCCATCTATAGAATCAGATGATTACAAGGGGATAATGAATGGCAGAGAATAAGTCCATCTACACCAGATATATATGGACCGGAGAGTGAGAACGGGTACACTTCTATTCCACCTTCCCAGGGGAAAAAAATGGTATACGGAACCGAAGCAAGCTGAGGAACCCCAACAGGTCGATCCGGCCATTTGCAGTGAGATGTATATATATGGACGTGTCTTGAGCCGCTGAATTCAAATCTGCCCTCGGAATTTGCGGAACGATCCTTCGAAAAAAGTTCGGACCATTCATTCTTTGCTGTCGCACAAGTTCGGAACGATAACTACGTGCTACGAGCGGCCTGTGGTGTAGTGGATAAGCGCACTCCTTTAGGGACACGAGGTCGCATGTTGGGATCTTTGACTGTCACACGTTTTTGCTTCTGTAAAACACTTCATGTGAGAGCCTAAAACACTCCTGTTTAGCTAATTTACCTAGATCTCTGCTTCCCCTCAAGAGATATACCAATACTAGCTTCGGGCAGAGCATTTGGACAGAACAGGAAAGCAACCGCTGGCTGTTTTTTTTTCTTTGGCGGAATGCCACGTGTCGGTGGATCCTAATCATGTGGGCTGATCATATCGGGTAATTTTTTCTTAGATCACATGGACAAAACGTTGTTCAAAATTGAAAAAAAGAACTTCAGTACTGCTTTCTCTCTGGACTGGTGGAGAACTGTAACTGTACCGTGTGTGGAGAGTACTTCTTTATTCGCTGTGCTCATTGTGAGAGCTTGTTTTGTTTCCATCATTTCGTGGAAGAATACCACATGTGCTCTTAAACCATAAAATCTTCAGTCTTAATGCAAGCTCTAATGAACGGATATCCTCATGATAAACTTCTTGAATGGAACCAGAATGGCGAATTCGCTTGCTGATGTGAAATAATCAGAGAACTAGGTAAATTAGCTAAACAGAAGTGTTTTAGGGTCTCATATGAAGTGTTTTACACAAAAGCAAAAATTCCCGAGAGTCAAGGATTCCAACATACGACTTCGTGTCTCTGAAGCAGTGCGCTTAACTACTCCACAGGCCGCTTGGCGCAAGTAGTTATCGTTCCGAACTTGTGCGAACACAGCAAAGAATAAATGGTCCGTAACTCCCTTCAGAGAATCGTTCCGCAAATTCCGAGGGCAGATTTGGATTCAGCGGCTCAAGACACGTCCATCTATCTATATATTGCAAATGGCCGGATCGACCTGTTGGGGTTCCCTTGTGAGAAACAAGAATTATACAATTCAGGAGATCAGTTAGGTACACATCACACAATGATAGGACCCTGGCGATGAACGGCACCATTAACAAATGAGATTGTTGGTCTAAAAACTAAACGGAAGTCGCTGGCGCCGTTGGTTGAACTAGCGAAGGATGCCTCAGCTACCTGCAACACATGTATAAAAAAGAACCTGCTGGCTTCAGAACTGCCACCAACGAAATCACATTAGGCTACTTAACTACCATGAGTTCGAGACTCATCAAAGCCTCACTTTTTGATGGGCGTCCTGTCCTGTGCAATTGCGCTTTAAAAGGGTTTGTAACTAGCAAACGCCTTATTCCTCTTTGACTGACGTCCCCAGCGAGGTTTGCACTCAGGGTACAGATTGTTCACAGTATATTGCTTTGGCAGTCGTTTATTGTTGACTGCTCGGTGAGTCGGCTAGTGGTAGAATGCTCACAAAAAGGGGCGTCCCTCAAACAACAGACGGGGTTGCGCCTGGTCTATCTAATCTGTTCACCAAGGGTCATAAATACATTACCAGGGGCCTAAGTCACATTCACTTAATATCCTCGCTGTGTCTAGATGACACTTATAATTGATGGAGGTTCTGGAGGCATAGGCACTCCAGAACACTCCGCGGCGACAAAGGGGGACAAGGACAACTACTGATAAATACTAAAAAATTCTAGGGAATAGTACAGCGTAGACTCAATCTCAGTGGTATCAACACATGATCTAGGGGGTCAAAATGTGATATCATGATGTAGTAGTCGAAGCAGTCGGTTGTGGGGAGTGGGTTGTATTGGAGGCCAGTCTTGTTCAGCGGCTTGATGATTACATGAAAGGTAGAGATTAATTCTTTTTTATTCATGATGTGTGATAGAACAAAATTGAATAGGTCATACGGGCCTTCTGTGGAATCCTCGTTGTTGAATTTGGGCTTGATGGATGAGATCGGTTCGGATGAAGGAAATCGTATAGATCGCGTAATTAGGTAGTGGACGCATGGTGAAATAATAGATTTGTATGGCAAGTTAACTTATGAGCACTATATTCATAAAGCATTTAACGGTATAAGGACTAGAAGAATGAAAAGAAAGGAAACTTTTATAAAATGATTAGAATAGGTCTTTGATTTGTCCTAAGATTCATAATGTTTAGTTCCCCTGGAGGTGCCAGGCTTCAACTTGGCAGTTGGTAATGAATGGCAGCAACTCTTCTGCCATGGCAAAAATGGCCTCCCTTTGTCGGATGATTCATTCAGAAATATACCTTTTATTGTGCTTCTGATTTTCGATACATTTTTGAGTGCTTGAGTGACGCTATATTTGCTTATGGTTAGGGTCTGCAAACACTGGTCCTGCTTTTTTGCTGATAACCGATGCTTTCAGCATCACTTTTTCGACGCCGCGACGCGCTTCCCTTAGGAACAGCGGACCCTGCCTAAACGCGTGCAGTCTAACTGTGGCCGCAGGGATGCCATTAAGGTAGTCCAAATGATCATAATTATCCCTGGGGTGGACTTGGTTGTCCATAGACAGGGCACTAGTAGGGCAAAACGCCGTATTGCACTCACTAACACCTTTCATTTGTTTAGTGGCACTTATAGAAAACAGTTAATGTTCTTTTTTTGCTTATTTCTCACTGATTCAATGTCAATGCTTTCTGCTTCGGACACTTTTTGACTACCTTCTTCATAATGATTAGGTGCTTCGGATATTGATGTCATAGAGTATGATACACTCATAGACTCGGTAGTGCTTATGGTACCACGACCGTATAAAGTCGGACCGAAAATAGTTTTTGCGATATGTAACACGCCGGATGAGTTTGTGTGTGATTACGTTTAACGAACTTAGGCCGTAGTAACTTCAAGACCGGACTAAGATCTGGAACTTGACGTTCACCGCGGATTTTTGAATTTGCGATGAAAATTTCTCGGTCTTGGAGAAATTCTGCGTCAATTTTCGTAAGATTAAGTGACGGAAACTCGCCTGTTATTATAGGTTTTGTTTTTATAGCCGTGTTGAGTTCTTGTCCGTGTGCGCTACATATTTTGAGGGTGACTAGGTGACTTACGAATTTTTCCGTATGTCCCCCTATCCCTGACATTACGCACGTTTCTGTTGTGAGTTTCGGCAGGCCTAATCGTTCTGCGAGCGCTTCTTCGATAAAGGCGTTTTGCGCACAAGTATCAAAGAAGAATAATACTTTCTCCGGAGGGTATTCGTTCTCTGATTCCAGACGTTCCCTTCAGCTGTCATAAGCACAAGCTGCTCATTTTGTGTGCAGCTAGCCTGTGCAGAGTAATTCTCGATGTTTTGGTTGGAAGAGAGCGGTTGCTCTAGACTGTTGTAACTAAATCTAACATCGCTTTCCATATTAGCAGTGTTCCTGTTTGCTGCAGGATTGGGTCTTGCGGAAGAGCGGTTGGGCACGCTGTTTGTCGTGTTCCCATTTCTTCTCCAGCGATTGGATTCGAGAGGTGGGTTACCCCTGGGAATGTTGTTTCCAGGCCTCTCGGACTTCATGCACACAGATGAGTGGTGTATCAGTTAGGTTTACTGCATTCGCTGCTTGAATGGTTGCCCAAGAAGCACTTCCAGCAGCACCTCTTTTCTTGCAGGATGTGCCTACGCTCTGCGCCTTGGCAGTCGGCTATTGTTCTACAATTTATAGACGTGTGATTTGATCTGTTGCAAACACACATTTTATTTGGTAGTTGGAAGGGCTCTCGGTTTTGAAGTTGTTGCTCCGAGTTTGGTAGGTCGCGACTGGACGTAGGCTTTGGCGCTAATTTCCTTGTCCAAGGCCCCTAAGAGTGCATCGATTTCCATGTTATCGGTTTCTTGATGCTTAACTAGGATGTCCTTAACTATATCATTCAGGAAATTTTTTCAATATTGTTTCGGACCACATGGGATCACATGTCCCTCTTATATCGTACCCTGACGAAACCATCTGATTGACGAGGGTTTTTATGGCATCAAAGCATTCTTGGCAGCTCTCTGCCTCTTTGGATGCGTTTTTTAGGTCGAAAAGTTTCTGCACGATTTTCGATTTGTTCATTGGCTTATTGCCATATCTTTTCGTGACGGTTTCTACCATCCACGTATAGTTTTTTGGTACGGGTTGTATATCCCCGTTATAAAACTTTTTTTCTGCCGGCTCCTTTGAATGCTGTCGTCTTAGGAGAACTATTTTTTTCTATTCACTGATGCTCCATCGGTTGGCTGTGTACCAGGGTTTCATGGGAAAATGGCCCATTAAAAAATTCGGCGAATTCTTCCTGGTTTGCCGCATAGAAATTTCGGCAATGACTATGGTTGGAGCCCTGTAAAAGTTCGGTCACCGGCTCCTTGCTGGAGGCTGTAGTTGGTCTCACTGGCTGGGTGGTCCGAACTGGCTTCCCCACTTTGATCATACTGGGGAGAAGCATATGTGTTCCTTCCTTGGGACCCTGGGGGATTGAGCTTCCTCTGGAGCCTTTGCAGTTCAACTTCCATATCTGAGAGCTGTCCCACTATGCTACCTACAAAGCGTCCCGCGTCCTCTAATATCCTAGAGTAATGGGTCTCCTTCTCGAGTTCCTCTACTTCTGCAATTGCCTCCTTCTGTTTGTTTTTGATTTGATTGCGTTGCAAAAATCCTCCAGAAGTTGGGCCTTACTTTCTAGTTTTCTGTTGCTGGTTTTACTTGCGTGAGGCAAGTATTTAAGTTGTTTAACATTAGCGGCGCATTTCTCGAATCGCTCATTATCCTCTTCTGGGAGAGTGATTTTTTGGCGATAACACTCGTAGGTTTTTAGTTTTTCTTCTACTGCCTTCGCGCTGCTAACTACCGCTTTTTTATAGAAGTATGTTGACATGGTTATGGAAATAAGGTTCGAATTTTTTCAGCAACGAGTATGCAAATACAGCAATAAGTATGTAATAACTGTGAAGTAAGTAAGTAAGTAGTAATAAGTTCTTAGTTCAGTAATTGAGTACCTGGTCCGGGTTTGTTTCCTCGGTTCGATGCACCAGATTGTTCACAGTATATTGCTTTGGCAGTCGTTTATTGTTGACTGCTCGGTGAGTCGGCTAGTGGTAGAATGCTCACAAAAAGGGGCGTCCCTCAAACAACAGACGGGGTTGCGCCTGGTCTATCTAATCTGTTCACCAAGGGTCATAAATACATTACCAGGGGCCTAAGTCACATTCACTTAATATCCTCGCTGTGTCTAGATGACACTTATAATTGATGGAGGTTCTGGAGGCACAGGCACTCCAGAACACAGCTTCGTTGTGGGAAACCCATAGGGAGAGTCGTACTTGACCCCTGGGGGGGGGTCGTAATCCCAAGGGTCAGTCAGCGCCGGGCAATGCTTTGACATTTCAGTTGATAGTGGGAGTGGAGCTATGGAAGTCAAGATGTTAAAAAAATGAAAATTATTATGAGTGTATTCTTTACAGATTTAACTGCTCCGTTTATCAGCCCTCTTTTTGCGAGAACCCCAGAAAGGGGATCGTTCTTGGCCGCGGGGACGTGGGGAGTATCGTAAATGTAGGCTCGCTAAGCATCTAACAGTACGGAAGTGTCATTGCTAAGTTTGATGGAAGTTACGGGTACGTAGATGAAAAGATTATAAGTTCAGGTTGTCAGGCTGCATACAGTACCCCCAAAAATTGCACGTGAAGTCAAAAATGTTGGGTCGTGAACGCACACAATCGGCGCACCGTAATCGGTTTAGTTACCCAAGTTTGAGGGGTGTAGGACTTTCTTGAAAGATCTCACTTCACACCTATCATGCCTCTTTGGGAGACTTGCCTGTGGGGTTGTTGCCTGACCTAATTGCTCTCTCGCTTACATCTGACCATCTCGTCTGACAGACACCGACTGAGCCAAACCTTAAATAGAAGAAGAAAGTGGAAAGTAGAAGGACAAAAATAAGAGTAAACGAAGGAAATGTTAGCAAAGAGGATGCTTTGATAAATTTGAAATGATAAGAACACACTCAACCAAGAGCAACTGAAATGCAGATGTACACAACATGGACTTATTACAATGGGAAAAAGGGCATGTACCGAAAAAATTCCTGTTTTTTCACCACGGGCTATCCCAAATGATCCGGTCTCTGCAATATTGCAGAAAATGTTTAGATTTGTTACTAACACTACCATCTAAGCTTAATTTATGTGTTTCATTTCAAATCATTTTAGCTTGCTTTCACCTTTGATTGTTTTATGTGATTCAGGTTTTTCACATTGTAGCGGCCGTGGCTGCTGCGAAGGCCGCTCACGCTGCTCACTCGGTCTTATGCACGTCATTCCCTTGCGTCACTGTCTTTCATCTCTCACGAGTATCGAATGATATCAGCAAATAGAGCTGGAGACGCGCGACGGTGAGCGGTACCTGTACGGACTTGCCAAGTCTCGTCATCGCCAAACCGAAGACATTGAGAAGTTCTTTGGCATAAGTGATGAGAATGGGCAACTTCTGATGGACCGAGGAAGGGTATTGCAACGATGGCGTGAATACTTCGAGGGCATCTCAACCGTGGAATTCGCCCATCCCGCTATACCCTGTACCGCACCTCAACACCCCGTTCAGAGGATCACCGCACAGGAAACCAAAGCTGCTCTGAGGAAGACGAAGGCCGGCAAAGCAACAGGCCCCGACGACATCGCAGCTGATTTGTGGAAGTCACAACGCTGGTTTCCTGCGGGTTGGTTGACGAAACTCTTCAACCAGATCGTCGAAGAGAAGAAGGTGCCTAAGGACTGGCAGCAGAGCGTGACGATCCCGATTTGGAAGAAGAAGGGCAACCCGGCAGAGCGTGCTCGAACTACCGTCCAATTCGCCTTCTCTCGCACACTATGAAAATCTTCGAGCGAATTGTTGACGCCCGTGTTCGTGATATCGTCCAGCTTTCCACCAACCAGTGTGGCTTCGTGGCGGGTTGTAGCACCGTC